AAGAGGCGGACTGCTGCACTGGAAGTCCAGGTCAAAAATGTAAGGTCAAGCCCGATGAACATTCCCAAGTTTTCTCTATGAAGAATGAAGTTTCCACGATGTGATGCCCGTAGAAAAGCCTGACCTCCTCCATCTACTGGACTCCTGTTGATGGACATGTCCATATGCAAATCAAAGTGTCAACAGGCACATTTTATTCAGCATGACCATCATTAAAGTATCGTAGTCCTCCTCTCCTCTCCTCTCCTCTCCTCCCCTCTCCTCTCCTCTCCTCTCCTCTCCTCTCCATCTATCTCCTCCTCCCCTCATCTCTGACCTTTCTCTCCCTCCTTTTTTCTCTCTCTCTGTCGGAGTAATTACAGCGCGGCCTATCTGCACCTGGTCACTAATAATCCGCTCTCGTCCTTTTCTCCCCTGCTTTCTCTGTCTCATTCTCCCTGCACTTCTGTCATCTCCCCTGCCCTGGTCGTCCATCTATCTCTTGATTTATCATTCCCGACAGGGGGGGGGTGGGGGGGGGGGGGGGGGTGTAGAGGTGGAGAGTAACTTGTGAAGAGAGAAAGATGACAACAAGAAGGACACGGGCAAGAGGAAGACTGAAAGCAGCCCTCTCCCAACAAAGCAGGAGAACAGACAGTTGAGAGGAAAAAAAAAGAGAGAGGAGAGAGCAGCAATCGGCAGTGGCGGCTCTTAATTACGGCGCTGGGGCCGGCTTTATCAGAATCCCCTCACCTCGCTGCTCTTTGTCAGGGGGTATTAAGGAGGAGGACACACAATCAGGCTTTTCATTAAGGCCCTACCGGCAGCGCACACAAAGGACGGCTTTAACAGCTGCAGAGAGGGACTCAGGTGGTGGGGGTGGGAGGGGAGCTGATGGGGTGAGGCGAGGGACGAAGGTGGGATGAGAGGGAGGAGAAAAACAACGCGATGACGGGTAAGTGGGGGGTGGTGCACAGATAGAGAGAAAGGGAGCATGATGGAGAGGAGGGACATGAGCGAAAAGGGGCGAGAGAAGAAGAAGAAAAAGACAGAGATAAGAAAAGAGAGGAGGAGAAGGAAGAGAGGAGAAAGGGGGGGGCACTGATACGTAAAAATGCACCAAAACCAATCACTGTTTTTGCCTTCATACTCACAAAATGGAGTGAGATACTTAAAAAAAAATGTGATCTTCTCTGGTTTTTTTCAGGTGACCCCTACCCTCTCCAGCTCATCCCCACAACGATGGCTGCTGCCGCTGCTGCCACACCGGGCCTGGGACCCCTGCAGCTCCAGGTAGGACTACAGCATTTACAGATCACCTCCTACAGGCAGATGTAGAAACCAAAAAAAAAACACACAGTAAATCACAACAACAACCAGAAGTCTTTAAATATCACAAACTGATCATTATAATTAAAATAGAAAAACATGCCGTTTTCCCATTCACGTGGGTGGTCCCATCGGGAATAAATCCCCCTAACCCTGACAGTGTTCACACCACACACCGCTGCCCACTGAGCTATACAAGACCACAAACACGGCCACAGGGGGGGATGCACAGCTGTCACTTTCAGCCAAAGTGTGGAGAGAGAAGTGATCTCATGAAAACATGATCTTCATGATCAGAGCTCAAAAGTCACACAGTACTGACAAGTGTAACCCTAGCCTTTGGCTCTGTCCTGCGATAGGAAGTAAATGGGGTTGAAGCAGTTCTGTAGAGCTGCTGAAACAGGACAGAAATGTTCAGACTGACTGTCAGAGCTCATCTATGGGTGATGCAGAGGGGATTTGGTCTTCTTTTAGCAGCACAGAGGCATCACAACAATGGGATCCAACTGGTAATTGTAATCAGAAATATGTTTACATGTCTCATAAAGAAGAACATATTTCAGACTTTCCGAATTGTGAAATGTAATGCACCACTTATGTCAAGCAAGTGTCATGTCTCTACAACATAAGTTTTGATATTATACACTAAAAGTGTGAATGGAAACCAATGGGAAAACATATTCTTCAATATATAATCCTACCGTGTGCTTACAAAAATGTGGTCACCCCCCGTTGTCTTTAGTCTAAAGCCTGTGTGCAGACACATTCAGCTGAAACCTACCACAAACCACAAATCAAAGCATCTGTAAGAGTCCCTAAGTTGTTTCATTAGGGATTGGCTAACCATATTACTGCAACACAACAAAGAAGAAAAAAATAGGACAGGGTTCTACATTTTCAGCCACAAGCCACAAAGCAAGTCAGTGCTGCTGGGATGGTTTGTGGTCTGTTTCAAATGCAAACGTCTGCATGTGGTACAAAGTTAAAGAACATCCAGATGTCAGGATTTTCAGTTAATTTTATTTTTCAAGATATGACAAGATGAAGGAAACTCCAGCATAAAGTTTGTGACAAATGCTGTTGTCGTATTCAAATGAGGTAGGAAGGTATGTGGCTCAGTCTTTATGTACATGCACTTATAGGTTTGATAAAGTGGTGTGCTGTGTGCTCTGCTGCCATAAATCTGGAGGTCAAGCAGTGAAGAAGCAAGAAAGCAGAGAGGAGATGATAGGGACAAAATCACAGAGAGGTAAAACAGTAAAAAAAGAAAGAGTCAACATCTGTTATCCCACTTTTAAGAAAGATGAGTCTGACTTTGCTCCTTTTCCTGTCTGCATATTTAGAATAAGTGGCCTATTGCTTAGTAATCCTGACCGCCCCCCCTGACCACCGCTTGTACGCTCACTCTCTCCCTCTGACCCCCGCACGCAGACAAACACACACGACTAGACCTCACACACTTCCACTCGGATCCACGTGGGCTTTGGGGCCCCCTTCTCCCAGAGGTTAAGAGCCCGCGTGGGCGTCCTCTCAGTTGCCTGTCTGAAACATATTACCCTCCAGTGTCAGCCCCAGTACAGGCTGCACTTGGCCCCCTCCGCTGTCTCTTTGATACACAGATCATAAAATATAACACACACACGCGCACACACACACACACACACAACAGCTGCATTAATGCACATATTTTCCTGTGCATCTTTTTCACTTACTGTTAACACACAAGGAATGATGGGAAAACATGGGTTAAAGGTGAAGCAGAGTGTGTGTAATATATTTGCACCTGTCAGCCAAACGTGCTGCCCCATATGCCAGACACTACAGGGAGAACAGAGTAGCTGTGTAATTCTATCATGGAGAACGGACCCCGCTGTCGTCACTGTTTTCATTATTACTTTCATGTGTGTGTGTGTGTGTGTGTCTGTTTGTGTTTAGACAGAGAATAATGTCCTCTGTGCTGTTATTACTGCTCCAATCTAGCTGTCCATATGTTCGACTGTGTTCAGACTCTCTCAAAATCTCCAGTCGAACGGCTTTGTCCACCTTGCAATTGGATTTTTTTTTTTTTTAACCAGCAGGGAGGGGCGAGAGGACACAACAAGTGCAAAAAAACATCTCACTAACAGATTTCTTCCTTACAATCCTCCCAGAAAAACACATCCATCCACATGCACGCTCACTCACACACACACACACACAAGTACACAGTCACACTTTGAGATTAAGGCTTTGTCAGAAAGAAACGGATTTGCCCAGGCTAACACAAGTACAGATGTCCCAATGTGGATGGATTTCCTTTGGGATCGTCTCTGCGCCCTCATTTGATAAGGAGGTGTTTCTGTCGCGACGAGAGGAGACATGACAGTCAGTCCGGGCCTCGGGTCGCCACGGCAACACAGTGGTTTGGCAGAGAGGACACAAGTGAACCCACTTAGCTCAGACACACACACACAAATAGAGGGAGAAAATGAAAGATTTTCAGATAGAGCACTCAATAGACTCTCCTGTTGCACTGAAGAGGGCATGGAAATATACTGACGGATATGTTAACACTTATAACACACCTAATTATTGGCACAAATGTTTTCCTCATGTCACTGTGTCATACAGCTACGTAAAACAGGCATATTGGTAGTTTAAATCAATATATTCTTAATTTTTATTTTCCGTGGATTTTGAAAAGGTCTTTTGAATAAACCTTCAAATAGAGAGGTAAATTTATGAAATGATTAAGTTTCACTGATATGCAATACTCGAGTCACAGGGGGTTTCTTCCGAGACTTAAATTTTGTCCAGGTCATGACCTCTCTCACCTCAGTACTCACTCACTTGGGAAACACGTACAATGAAGCCCACACTGTACGACATGTACAATTACATTAAGGCTGCAGCTGGACGGACTTGAAAGAGACTTGAAGCAGCACTGGCTCAAAACCTGTAGTCTGAAGTATACATCAAGCCCCCAAAACTCTGCATCCTACATTTCCCATGATCCAACTTACTGTGTTCTTTGTTAGCGTTCCCTGGCCTGATACACGCCCATGTCATTCAGACTCAACACACAACAATTTGCGATACATTTTTTTTGATTAATAACCCTGATGACCTGATGAGGAACTACAAAAACAGGCGCATTTGTAGTTTACAGTCAATATGTTTGTAAATGGAGCTATGTTTAAAATTCTTTATAATCTAGACTCGCACAAACTGAATGTGAACAATTCTTCAACATCTCAATTCGATTGAAAGAAATCCACAAATCATCCTATAAGCTGATAAAACAAGTGTATATTTCAGGAAAACACCCATGTTAATGTCCTAAATGTGTAACTTAGTGGAAGCTCCTGAGATTACGCTATAAACCTTTTTGCAAAGTCCACATCCCAGTCCGTCTTGGTGACTTTATTTTGAAAGTGTCCTCGGTATACTGTAGATATAAAGGATGAAATCAGTGGTGATTTTTGCCCTGATTACACTGCATTAAAACGGTATACATAGAAAGAAAGAAGACTTAGAGGAAACACTCTCAATAGCATGGCTTGATTTAAGAGCAGTTCTTAGAAAAATGTATTAATCTCTCAATGATTTAAAGCTCTTTCTATGTTTGAAACGTCCTCCATAGAAATCAACAGAGTAGCTCATATAATGAGAGCTTAACACACAATCCTCCATAGAAGGTTTTCAAGGCAATGGAGGCTTTGGAGTGTACAAGGTTGGCATCTTAATCTGGGGGATGAGTGTGACATTGTGCATTAGAGCATGTTAATCTGGCTCCCAATTGACCCTTGATATCATTGATATCATCCACATCACACAAATGGACTGAGAAGGACAGACAGAGCGCTGAAAAATAAAAAGAAAAATGCACTTATCCAGGCAAAGAGAGCAAGATCGGCAATAAAGATCAAAAGGCAGAGGTAGCAGAGAGGTATTTAGAGGGATGATCAGTTAAAAGGATGAACAGAGAGAATGATGGGGGGATGGAGGTAAGTGGAGGAGAAAAGTATGGATGTGTGAGGGGGAGAGAAAATGTGTGTGTGAATGTGTGTGTGAGACATGGTATAAAGAGGGTCAATGGTGTGGGTCAGGCATCATATGGAGAGGCAGATGTTGGAACATATTGTCCTGGATTACCGCACTGTACACCGGAGAGATGGACGGACCAACAACGGACAGGCGGGCAGGGGGAGGCAAGAGAGGAGGGAGGGGGAGAAAGAGAGGAAAGAGAGGGGCACTAACAGATGAGAGAAGGTAAACGAGAAATCAATCGAGCAACTCATTTCTCCACAAAACCTTATCTGGATGAGCGAAAGAGTGCAGGGAAGCATTTTCCTCAGATGTGAGAATTGCTTCAGTGTTGGTATCTCCTTCTCGGTCTTATAGAGGCTTGGAGTTGCAAGGAAATGCCATTTTGTGATAGCAGCATGAGATCAATGTGAAATCAATAGGCAGCAGAGATAGGTGGCTATAGTTAAGAAAATTCTGCTTTACCACTTCTGAGTAAAGGAAGAAATGACTAAAGGAAAAGTATACTAGGTGTGTATAATCACCTATGACATGTTATTGGTGTAAAAGTCAACTTACTGAGTTTATTAAGTGTCAGTTTTTGTACTTTGTGAATACTACATGTAATTCACCATAGGTAAAACATAGTGAAGGCCAACTTGCTTTTGGTTTTTCTGTAAAGCTCATTTCAAATGTCTAATGCAAAGAACAAAAACAAAACAACCCAAATATTTGTGATGTTTGTCGTCAAAGTAAATTCCCCAGATTTTTTGTTGATTGTGTTTGCCCTTGAGGCTGCACCATAAAAACATAAGGAAGGCACTGTAATCATGTTATTTAAACTTGACCACCATTAATGTTTTTATGTGGGTTGTTTTTTATTTTATTTTATCTATTACTTACTTCAATGACAAAGAGATTTCAATTACTTAAATGAGAAAAAAAGCTCAAAGGAGAGAAATCTATAGAGAGGCTGATGGGATGTAAGAACAGGGAAGTGTTTGTGTCTCTGACTCAACACTTGCCTCTTGTCTTTTTCTTTTTTTTGTCTTTCAGTAGCAAAACCCACACCAGTGTAAAAAAAAAAAATGTGATCAGACAGACAGGAAGTCGGACAGACAGAAAGAAAGAGGAGAATCCATTAAGAACCATACAATAGTCCTCGTTGTCCGTGTAAACAATAGAGCTCAAACTGCTCTGAAGCGCCGCTAACTCCGACAACAAAGACCAGGCAAGCTTGTAATCTGACTAAAGCTGCAGATTATTGACCAAGACTAACACACACACACACACACACACACAGATCCCCACCAACTAAGATGACAGAAGAAATAGCAGCTTAGTGTGTGTATGTGAGCGCGCACACACAAACACACAGCATCAATAGCACTAATACCAAACAATCACCCCCATGTCTTCACTCAGAAAACACCAATAGTCACACATCACCTTTTCACCTCTCATCAATAGAACTCCGGCTGGACATGCTTACACACAAACACATTTTTTTTTGGAGGGAGGGGGGGGTCATGTGACAAGCACACGCTGACCACTAGACATGTTCACGTGCGCACAAACGTACACAAAAACACATGCAGATTTGTTAGCGCTGGCCTCACATTTAGGGATTAGGGACAGAAAGAGTGAAGAGCAGGTCCTAACAGTTCAAACGGACACACACACACACACACACACACACACACACACACACACACACAGCTCTGCAGTATGCCTGGCTAGTGAGTGACAAATTCCTTAGTTTCATCCTGCAACTAAGATTGCATTTTCCCCCTCTCGCTCATTGTGTTGTTGTTTCTGTGTGTGTATGTTTGTGTGTGTGTGTGTGTGTGTGTGTGTGTGTGTGTCTGTGTCTGTGTCTGCGCCTGTGTATGCTCGCTCCTCCGGTCACCCCAGGGGGCTTTGCGCTGTCACTTCCTGTTTGTTGACATGCATGTCGTTGTGGCGACGCTCTGGGCGCGCTCCACAGTGCCTCTGCCCTCTGTGTGTGTCTGTGTGTGTGTGTGTGTGTGTGTGTGTGTGTGTGTGTGTCATTGCTCGCTGGCCCATTGAGCAGGCTTTGAGTGACGGGAGCTGGCCTTGTAATGGAACTCAATTCACTCCGCAAATAAAGAGGCCTTTGAACCACTGGTCCGAATATGGCAGGACACACACACACACACACACACATATGCACAAACACACACACACACACACCGCCTGTGGTCCACTCCGCATAGGCGGCCGCGTTTGCGCTGCGATAGGAAGGGGGGGGGGGGGGGGGGTGTTCATGCTCGGCTGCCCCCTCCCCCCTCCATCACTCTCTCTTCCAGGAGCCACAGTGCAGCTAATTGAAGAGAAATGGGCGAGCGGAGGCTGATCTGATCTCAGCGAGCAGGTCCTCCGCACCGCATCCATGTAGCTCGCCAGAGCGTGACCGATCTCCTGCTGATTTCCACAGCAACAGCAGCAGCAGCACACCCAGTCTACCTCATGTACCTCAATTATCATCGTTCCCCTCGGTGTCGGGAACAGTGGCAGATGCTGGCACAGGTTTATTTCCAAACCGCACCAACGCCTTCGATGAACCTCAGCTGACTGATTTTATTGGAGAACAAATGCTCACCTCCGTATTTTTTACACTGCTTATGACAAATTGCTAAGGTGCCAGAAAGCAAAGAAGGTAATCAAATATTAAGAACACACCAAACAGCCACATGAAAACTTTTCTCCATTACTGTCCAGAGCCTCGCTTTCACATCTCAGTATTTCTTAAATTTAAAGCATTCAGTGTCAAAGTGCTTGTCAGGGATGAAGTTACCTTGTACCCTGTTTTGATTTTTGCCTAAGAAGAAATTCAGAAAAGAAATTCATCTCTTTGGAATGGCAGGTATCTTATTTAAGAGTGAAATGAAAAGCAATAGAAAAAGAAAGAGTACTGTAATAGAAAATATGTTGCTTTTACATCGCTTTTGCATTGTTGCACATTGAATATTGTTGTTGCCACATGTGAGTGACAGTCAGGCGGAGAGTATTTCACATTCAAATATGAGTTTCTTCCAAAAAGTACTTCTTTGTGTGAGTGTGTGTGCTGCCAGTTTGAATGTCTCATTTTTTTCTTGTTTGTATAAAAAGAGATAAATGTCTTTATTTAAGATAGCAGAGGAGAGCAGACGCTAATGTGGCTGTCAAGGGAGATAGAGAGAGGTACAAACAGACAGGGAGAGAGAGAGAAATAGCAGTGACAGCATCTCTTCCTTGTCCATTTGCATAAACCAGCCTTTGTTTGACGCTGGTGGCCGGCAGCCAAGCGCCAACAGAAGGACGGAAGTTAAACTCAAAAAAAAAAAAAAAAAGAATGGTCCTCTTCCAGAAAAATCTTCCACCAGAAATAAATAATAACAATTATAACTATTCAAAAAAAACAACACATCAGTTACTTCTCGCACAAACAACCGTTCTGTTGCCTTTCAGAGGAGGGAATAACAATTCTGAGAAAAACAAAACAGCATCTTGGAGATTTGTATTAGCCGACATGAAAGTAATTGAGCTTCGCAGGATGATTTTGAGGAGGGAGATAGAGAGGCAGAAAGAAGCATTTATGAATATTGAAGCTCCTTCCAAGTTGTGAATATTATGTTGTGTCTGTTGCTGTGGAAATACTGGCCAGAGACTGTTTTGTGTGATACAACGGTATTGCATAAATATTCCCCGAGTATGTTCACACCATAGCAGCTCATGCCATAATGCTTTTATTTAATTAGAAATTAATTAAATACATAAATAAGAATTGGGAAAAACCTGTTTTTTTGTTTCCCTCAGCAGTTATTGAATCAGTTTATCTTTGTTTTAGACTATTTTATAGCGTTTCTGTGTGTTTCTGCATCTTATTGTCAGCACACTCAAAACATCGCAGGGGCACGAGACACTTCTGGCATGTCCCATCTGGCGTGTAGCTTCACGAATTTTTCCTCCCTCTCTCTCTCTCTCTCTCTCTCTCTCTCTCTCTCTCTCTCTCTTCCCATCTCTCTCTCTTTCCCCCTCCATCATCACTTTTTTTCACCTTGAGCAAGAGCCGAGCTCTGCGGCGTGACCTCGATAGCCGGAATGTTTTCCCTTTCTCCCACGATGCACCTGGAGGGGACATGGCCATCTCTGGGCCTGTCAGAGAGGCTGTTAGCACTTCTCCCATGGGGTGAGGGAGGGGGTTGACAGTGGAGATGTCCCTCTCTATCTCTCTGTGTCACACAAACAGAGGCCGGGCCACTAATGGCCTCTTCTTCCAGAGCTTTTTAGCCGGTGTCTTCTTTTTTGTTTGTGCGCTCTCGAGTATTCATTTATTCATGTTGTCCCTTTCTTCTCTTTTTTTTTGCCTCTCCCATCTCTTTCCCCCACTCCTCTTTCCTTTCTACTAACCCCACCCACCCCACCTCCCCACCCCCTCTCTAACTCTCTCCTGTCTGTCTCTCTGGCTTCTCTCACCTCCCTGTCTCTCTGCCTGTCTCACTGACCTTGCAGCAGTTGTACGCAGCTCAGCTGGCGGCCATGCAGGTGTCCCCGGGGGCCAAGCAGCACGGAGGCAGCCTGCCACCCCAAGCCAACCTGGGCACACACTCGCCACCCACCAACACACACTCACAGAGCGACAAGGGCCGCAGCTCCCCGCAACAAAACAAGACCAAGGTAAAAGAGAAGTGTGTGCATGTACATGTGTTCAACTCTAGAACTGCCAGCGGATTTTGGGGTTTGAGAGTCAGATGACGTAATGGCTAAACATTTGAATTCCTAAAATTCAAATTTGGCTTCAGATCTCCTTATTATCAAGACATTTTTGTCTGTAATTAAGCATTTTCTTAAAATACAGCTTTAATCCTGCCAGTGGAGTCAGGATACTTCCACATATTTTCTCTGTATATCAATTTGTTAAAAGTGTTTTTCAAAACTAAGTTTAATTTCTTTTTTGATTCCAGTGCAGTGGCCTACCTTACTCGTTCTTATTTCAAGATAAAGACACAAATTTCTTACAAAAAAGTGGATCACTACTGAAATCTATTCTGCACTGGCAAATTCTTTTACTTACTTTACAAACTACAATTGGACTTTTTGCTGTCTAACTTACCGAACAAACTCTGGCCTTTCTATTGTAACAACACGGACTGAACGACCGAATGTCTGCTTGGATGAGATTGTCCTTCACTGCAGTGCATGATCTGAAGATGTGTGTTCAGGCTTGTTTGGATCTCGCTTTGCATCCTGATTTTTTTTTTTTTTTTTTTTTCAATCAAACAAGTGTCCTGAGCAACGGTCAGCTCCTCATACTAATGCACACCTTGGTGCAACTTGGTGCCTGAGAAAAACTCACAGTCACCTCTGCAAATCAAACACTCCAACTTTATCACAAAACTCCAGCTGGTATCTGGTCGCGGTGGATTTGAGGAGGTATTGGTGTTTGTCCCGTTTTCTCGGCTGGCTGCCCAATAGGGGCGAAGGGAAGTCTTGTGTCCATTCAAGTGGAATTCTATGAATATCTGGTGGGCTATTGGGACCCTGACCACCTCCCCCCACCCATACACACACACACACACAGCCTCCATGCCCCCTGCTGTCCTGCGTCTGCCCTAGGGCCCCCCACAAGTGTAGTGGTCAGTCTCAAATCAACACACACAGAGACACCGACACACACAGGGTCAGGCTAGTCTGTCAAAGAGCGGGACAACACTATCAAAATCCCACAGAGTTTGACAATCTGAATTCAGATTAGTGCTAAACCCACATTTTATCACATAAATCAAAGTTCCCCAACTCTTCTCCTTTTTCCTTCCTTCACTTTTCCATCTACTTTTTTCTCCTCCCCTCTTCTCCTCTTCCCGTATTTCCACTTCCACATCTTATCCTTTGCTACTTGCTATTTAATCATCCTCTGTCATCACTCTGTTTACCACATTGTTCTTGCCCTGTGCCAACTCCTGTGTTCACACACACACACACACACACACACACACACACACACACACACACACACATGCTCTCTCACGCTGTTGGGACAAGCTCCCGGCCCAGATTAAAGCTTGTGGTTGACCCCGAGCTTGCACTCCTGCTTCCTTGTCCATCAACCCCTCCCTACACCTCCATCACACACACACGCACACACACACACGCGCACACTTCCATCCTGCCCTATTGACACACACGTCTTATTACCATATATATGGAGTTGGGCTGACAGGCAAGTGCTGCGGCCTGTGGTGGAGGGGACGTGGGAAGCCATAATGTCCTCCCCAGTCCAGCGGGAGTGGCAGACTGGGGAGTGGACACCACATGGACCCCAACAGGCCCCATGGAGACAAAATGGCCAATTGACCACCGAGCTGTTTTGGTGTTACTCCCCCATAGCTCTGTTTGTGAGCATGGGGAGACAAACATTAGATAAGTAATGTTGCTTTCTTTCTTTTTCTTTTTTCTCTGTCTCTCAGCCTCTTTCCTCTCTTTTTTGATTTCTTTCATTCAGTTTCACCACTGCAGCACTCACACTCATTCTTCAAACTCTCTTTTCCTGTCTCTCTTTCTCTCTTTCTCTCTCTCTCTCTCTCTCTCTCTCTCTCTCTCTCTCTCTCTGTCTCTGTCTCTCTCTGGGTGAGTGACATGTATATTTCAGAGGTGTGGTCCCCCTGTGGGCTCTATCTCAGGTCTCTAGTCATTTAGAGACCCGCTGCCTGCCTCTGCTCACAGCTGTTTGGACTCAGGCACACAACGCTTAAGTGCTTTACCCTCGGGTGAGACACAGGCACACACACACACACACACACACACACACACACAGGCGCAAATGTACAGACGCACACACAGGTGTAGAACAAGTTACCAACTAGAAACCATGTGGCCCCCTCACACCCACACACACACACACACCCACACACACACACCCACATGCACAAATCACTGCAGCATACATCCAGCTTTCTCATACGCAAGAGTGGATTTTCAGATGTAGGCAGGCATGCATACACACCCATACAATAGTGCAGTTCAAATTATGCACCATATGCAGGCCATTCGCTGACATGCGTGTCACACACACGCAGTGGTGGAGAGTAACTAAACTCATTTTCTGAAATTTACTCTGCAACTTTGAAAATACTTTTATATTACTTGAGTATTTTCATTTGATGGGACATTTAGATGCAAATATTATATATAGTATATATAAAATATATATATAAAGTTTTTCTCCACTACATGTATTTGACTTACTAGTTACTTTGCATTACAATTTCACTTCTAAAACATATAATCATTTTATGTATCAGGATATTCAAAAGACTTTAAAGAAGCTTCAATGAGCTCCACCTCAAATAGCTGCATCATATGTTCATGTTAATGCATCAGAAATAATGATCCAATTATATACTGTACACAGTAAACTGCAACACTCTTAAAGTCTGCGCAATGAGTTACATTTGATACTTCAAGTAGATTCTGGTATTAAGATTCACCAAAAGTACAATTTTAAAAGTAAGGTTTTTAATTGTAGCACAGTATTTGTACAATATTACCACTATTTTTACCGAAGTAAAGGATCTGAATATGTATATATGTATAATGTATATCTCCACAACCGCTCACATGTACACACGCATTCAAATTTTAGATTTAGCATGCAGCTGAGCTCAGCTTCCAACATCTGGGATATAATGTAGATATGCGACCAGCAAACTGCTGCCAATAGTACTGAGACTGACTGTGTGCCCACCCACACACACACACACACACACACACACACACACACACACTTGTACACTACAGACCCCTGCCATCACTTAAAAAGGTTTTTGGGAAGAGGTTTCTGTTTGCTGTTTGAGCTCTTGCAAAAATGCCATTCATCTATTTATGACCCTTGATGGCCTAGTGTAACCATAAAAGTATAAACTTTTAAAGGTTCAACTGAATGTATCCTTGAATTGATATCAAGTCCTAGAGTCGGCAATTCTGAAGCTAGATATTTTTTTTCTAATCTAATTAATTAGAACATTAATGAAGACAGTGTCAAGACAGGAGGACTAGTCCAATCGGGGAAGAAAATAAAACAAAAAACAAACAAACAAACAAAATCAATCAGCCAGACTGTCAAGGTAAAGTCACGTCTACAAAAACAAATTAGCAGAAAATATGAAGTGCATTTACATACTCGAGGAGTTGGTGTGTTAGTGAATCGTTGCCACATACTGTAAGAAACAGTGTCATATCTGCCTCCTCTGCTGTCTGATGGAATTAAACATGACAATATAATTAATATCCAAACAGTCACTTATAGCTGCAAGGGAAGGAAGAGAGGAAGACAGAGAGATGCAGTAAGAAAGGCACATATAAAGGTGTTAATATGGACATTGTAGCACACACGCCTACGCACACACCTACACACACACACTCACAGACCCGACCAGGATAAACGATAGTGGCACACACACTTGTCCTGTTAATTGAACCGTCAGCTCTTGTGATAAGATGCAGAACCCTGATGTCGCTTTCACATGTCTGCATCCACAGAACTGATACAGCCCACACACACGCCCGCACGCACGCACACACACACGCACGCACACATACGCATTATCTCTCCCCTCCTGCTTCCTGTATGTCTCGCTCTCTCTCTCTCTCTCTCTCTCTCTCTCTCTCTCTCTCTCTCTCTGTCCCTCTGGCTCTCGCTGTCACTCTGCATGTTTTCGGCCTCAGAGCTGGAGACTGTTTCATCAGCCAAGAGAGACACAAAAGCAATTGTATTAATTCAAGATTCCAAGAGGCTTTAGAGGCCTCACACACACACACAAACACACACACAGACACACACACAAATACACAAATACACACACACACACACACACGCAGTCATGAGATTTAGAGCTTGTTGAACAATGACACACACGCACATGAACAAGTCGGTCCAAGCCTCTCAGCTCCACTGTCTAAACTAATTCCTCCACACTGGCATAATGCAGGTTGGCCACCTTCCCACCATAGGATTTGGCTTGGCGCGGAGAGGAAACTCCCCCATCCACTGTACAAGAGGCGGAGGCATTATCTATTTGTAATAAATATTCAAACGTGTTCCCAGCCAAAGCCCACCATAGTATGGGTCAGGATTGAGAAGATCCCGCTCAGTTTTTCTCTTCTCTCCTTTCTCTCCTCTTCTTCTCCGGCCCATTGTCTCACTGAAGGCATCTTTGGGGGTCCTCCGTCTATTTAGAAAGACCCCCCTAATGAAGGACAATCCGGTTAGGCCTCATCGCACATGAACGCACGCACACACACACACACACACACACACACACACACACACACACACACCACACGAAGACACACCAACACACATCTACACACAACTTCACTATCCTAAGAACACTACATCATCACACAGCACACACACACACACATAGTCATGTACACATGTAGGGGCTTAATTGGAAGGGCTTAATTGAGTTGTGAGGGGCTCATAAGGCTTAGTACGACTCAAGGAGTGGGAATCAGGGAAAGTCGGCCTTAATGAGTGGAGATACCACACACACACACACACACACACACACACAGTTCTTGCTCTCTTTTTGGATCCCACTGTATGCTGGATTCTTCTCCTCCTAAGCAGCAATTAGACTAATGATCAGAAAATAAAGAAAAATAATGTGTCTGTTCTATTCTGTGGTTTGAATTGAACTACAATAGGCCCACACCTGCAATGCTAAAATATACACTTAAAGACATTTAGTAATTAGTATATTACACTTAAACAAAATAATCTAAAAAAAAACAAAAAAACAAATAGTTTTGCTACAGCACAGAGACAGTATTGTTGTGCATCTTTATTGCTGGGCCCATTAAGCCGTCCCTTGCCCCATGTTGTGTCTGCCTTTTAATTGCAGAGTTTTAATTACACAGAGTGGTCTGTGTACATCTGGCCCCTCGGCGATCTAATTCCTTCCTTCCTGTCATGTGACCCTCCGAGGCTCCCCCTGATTGGATTAGGTCATCGGCAGGGGTGATGTTGCCATGACAATTAACGTGATAACAGCCCCAGGCTTTCTGTGGTGGTCCACATGCCGATTCATTTAGGGGCTGCTGTCTGCTACATGTGTTGTGTGCAGACATCCGTTGACGTAGATGAATGAGTAATTGTAATGATACACATGTATGAATACAGAGTCCTTTTTGGCATCATAATACACGGCCTCTATCTTAATATACAAATACTGTGGCCATCATCACCATCATCAGCACGGACCTCAAAAGACAGCTGCTTCCGAAAGATGTATTGATTGGTTGCTTCAGTTGTGAGTGTGTTTGTGTGTGGTTGTCTTTGAGGCAGAAAGTGCTAGTGGTCCCCTGTTTCTAATGGAGCAAGTGCACATTGAAGTGGCAGACAGCCCTCTGTTCTGTTTGCTGTTTGATATGTTGAGACGTCACCGTGTCTCTAGTCTCTCTCAGCTGTAAAGGCTCGTCTGTGAGAGGCGTTATTCTTCATGAGAGAGATAAAGAGGAGTCCACTGTAGTTTTCTGAATCATTTCGAGGTGTTTCTCCTCCTCACGTGTTTGATTGTCGCTCTTGCCGCTGGCCTTGTTTGAAGCATGTCGAGGAGCAGTGTTGTACAGTAATGCACGTTTACTGGAGCCTGCATGTGGAGTGTGCATGTGCATGAATCATGTCGTCTCTGCCCTGTGTGAAGGGTGATTTGCTGTGATAGGAAGTCAGTTATTTTGCATGTGAATGTCAGTGGTTTGCACCAAAATACATGAATATTTATTTTTGTTTGTGCTCTTAATTCTTTCGCTTATGACGAGCTGTTTGGAGACGGGCAGTGGCATGCACCTTGTCATCTCTCCCGCCAGGCTTGCCTCAGATTGCTGTGCATGGACTCCCGTTTAATTAGCACGTGTCAAAGCCTCACTTGCGAGTGGTTCTCGGTGAGGGAGTGCGAGGGGTTCCTCCTGCCTCCCGCTTCCAAATTTCTACGGTGGTCACAGCAGGCGAAACTGTGCTGTTTTGGTTTTTGCAGGACAGTGAGGGTGCACAGCCACTGAACCTGTCGGCCAAGCCTAAGGCATCCGAGAGCAAGTCACCCAACTCCCCCCCAACTTCCCCACAGGTCCCTGCTGCTGCCGCTGCCAAGCTGGGCCCCGCCGGCTCCATGAAGCACAGCATCGCCCCCTCCAGCATTGGAGGACCACCGAGCAGAGTCAGCTCAATAGGTAAGTGGACTGAAGTATCCATCTCACACACACACACACACACACACACACACACACACACACACACACACACACACACACACACACACACCACCACCACAGTAAAGTTAAAGGATAACACCAGGTTATCACAACTTGGGTTTTTTTTTTTTGTAGTTTTGCCAACAGTCGTTGTGATGTTGTACTTGTAAATCACCAGCCACACCTCCAGTGTGTTTTACAATTCAAATAGCTCTGATGTTGTGCTCACTGACAGCTGTCTCCACTTGTTAGAGAGGCATTCAACCAATCTGAGCTAATTAAAAATGCGGGAAGTCATCCTCCTGCAAAGCTAGCTAGCTGCTTAGCTACATCCATAAAAAATAGCAACATAAAAATGATCGCAATGCGACAAGCCTGGATGAGATGAAGCTTTACAGATTGTGGGAAGTGGTATTACACAAACTGCAACTGTAAATGTGCCAAATGTTTTTGATCAGAATGAAAAATGTGTAGTCAACCACAAGATTGATTGTGTTTCTTTTGAATACATTATTGTTATTATTATTATTATTATTATTATTATTATTATTATTATTATCAGTAGGAATGATAATCAAACTTAAGAGAATAAGACTTGAGTTGTAATAAACACAAATTAGCTTTAGAGTGCACACACAGTCATTCTGTGCACAACACAGTGTCCGAACAAAACATTTGAATGCATACAGATCGTATACATACAGTATAAATGACTCTACACTTCAGGACACTCTCATGAAAAGCGTTTGCAAATGTTTCCCATCATGACAATGTATGTCTTTAAGGAAAACAGTAATAGTTCTGCTGGTAGTGGCGATGACAAGAATAGTGTTTTCCTCGTAGTGTTGCCATTGTTGCTAGTGCCAGTACCATAATCATACCCAGCCATATGCGCACATACATAAAATATGACATAAATGAATCACTATTTTGT